TTCTTTTCCACACATGAGCGTATATAGCAAATGAGTTGAGTCTGACTGAGTATATGATAAATTAAAAATAGATATAAATCATGTCACAAGGAAATTGAACTTCTAAGTTTCAACCTTTTGAAGTTGAACAAAATAGAATATCAAGACTCAAACCGATGACATTTTGAATTAAACCTAAACAACTTATCATTCAAGTCGACATGTAACATTTAGGGGTGATGCTATGGTACATTTAGATGTACCATACATCAGTTATGAGGATATGTGATTTTATATTATAACTAATATCAGATAGATCATAACCATTATCATATTAACTCATAACTTAGTTATATTTAGTTATTTATACATGCCATATTATCTCATAACTACTACATAACTAAATTATTTTAATAATTTAATTTTGAATTGACAACCAGTGTAACCAGTTACCAAAAAGAGGGCAAAGGAAATCAGAGGAGTCCAAGAGTTCCAATATCACATATCTCATAACCACTAGTCACATATCTCATAACCAATATCTTTTTTTCATAACCAATATTACATATCTCATAATCACTACTGGCATATCTCATAACCAACACCATTTTGCTTATAACCACACCACTTTGTTCATAACCAATATCACATATCTCAAAACCATTGATCACATATCTCATAACTATTACCCACATGAATCACAACCACATCTCATAACCAACCCCTTTGAGTCATAACCAACATCACATATCTCATAACTACTAATCATATATCTCATAATTAACAACCATTTTGCTCGTAACTACACCACTTTGATCATAACCAATATCTCATATCTCATAACCACTAATACATTTAGCATAACCAAACACCCTTTGACACCACTTTGCTCATAACCAAAATGACATATCTTATAATCACTAATCAAATATCTCATAACATTTACTCATATATCTCATAACCAACATCATATATCTCATAACCACACCACTTTGATCATATATCATAACTACTAATCACATATCTCATAACCACACTACTTTGCTCATAACCAACATTACATGTCTCATAACCACTAGTCACATATCTCATAACCAATACCTTTTTTTTATAACCAATATTACATATCTCATAATTACTACTGGCATATCTCATAACTAACACCATTTTGCTTATAACCACACCACTTTGTTCATAACCAATATCACATATCTCAAAACCATTGATCACATATCTCATAACTATTACCCACATGAATCACAACCACATCTCATAACCAACCCCTTTGAGTCATAACCAACATCACATATCTCATAACTACTAGTCATATATCTCATAATTAACAACCATTTTGCTCATAACTACACCACTTTGATCATAACCAATATCTCATATCTCATAACTACTAATACATTTAGCATAACCAAACACCCTTTGACACCACTTTGCTCATAACCAAAATGACATATCTTATAATCATTAATCAAATATCTCATAACCTTTACTCATATATCTAATAACCAACATTATATATCTCATAACCACACCACCTTGATCATAACCAACATTACATATCTTATAACCACTAATCACATATCTCATAACCAAACACCCTTTGACTTATAACTACATCACTTGGCTCATAACCAAAATCACATATCTAATAATTACTAATCATATATCTCATAACCTTCATCCACTTATGTCATAACCACATCTCATAACTAATACCATTTGCCTCATAACCAACATCACATATATCATAATCACTAATCACATATCTCATAACCATTACTCTCATATAGGGATGTAAATTTGGCTCACGGGCTCGTAGCACACCTCAAGTCTAGAAATTACTCACATATCTCATAACCATTACTCACACATGGGGGTGTAAATTTGGCCCATGGGCTCGCGGCACACCCCAAGTCTAGAAATTACTCTCTCTCTCTCTCTTTCCCCTCTCTCTCTCTCTCTCTCTCTCTCTCTCTCTCTCTCTCTCTCGTGTTTGGGCTAAAGAAAGGGTCTAGGGATTTGTCAAAAACAATTAATGAAGAATTTTGATTTGAAAAAATTTGGATGTTTGTTCCAAATTTTTGGAGAACATGGGGCCAAAATTATGTAATAATCATTTAAAAAAACATAATTAAAACATTTATGAATAGAGTCTTATAATAAAATAATTATTAATTTATAGTTTTGTCAATTTATACTTAATTTTTTTTATTTATGTTTAATATAAATCCTTCATCTATTTTTATTAAGTAAAATTAATAAAAAAAAAGACTATTTTACTCATCAACTACAAAATGTATAATCACATCATTAATTGGAATAATAAAAATATTTAAAATTTTAGAAACCACAAATATCATAATCAAGTCACAAAGCTTTGTAATATAAAACACAAAATACATAACGCCATCACTAATTGGCATAACAAAATTGTTTTAAATTATAGAAAATCACAAATGTTGTAACTAATTCCCAAAATTTCATAATATTAATCAAAAATTATGTGACTATCCACTAATTGGTGTAATAAAAACATCTAAAAAGTTTTAAAACCACAAATGTCATAACCAACTCACAAAATTTAATAACATCAACTATAAAATGCGTAACTGCACCACTAATTGTCATAATAAAAATAATCAAAATTTATACAAATCACAAATGTCATAACCAACCCAAAAAATTTCATAACATCAATCACAAAATGTATAACAATACAACTAATTGATGTAGCAAAAATATCCAATTTTTTTCTTAACCACAAATATTGTAATCAAGCAACAAAGTTTCATAACAATTATCATAAAATGACTAAACAAATCACTAAAAATCTTAGAATCACCAATCGAGATCTCTCATAATACAGAGGAAACAAAATGTAATAACAATCATTAAATAATTTAATCAACGACTTAAAGCCATGGAACAGAAAATGAGAGTTAGAGAAGATTAGCTAGTAGAGCGAGAGGAAAGGGAATATGAGAAAGAGAGACTGAACGGGCTTATTACCTGTGAAAATGACGTCAAAGGAGTTGTCGTTTCTGATAAGAAACATTGGAGATATCTACAATGACAGTAAAGAATGAGAGAGATGCATGAGGGATGAAGAGGACTGAGATAGCAGAACAGTACAACAAAATGCGTAATATTCATTTTTCAACAGTTCTATAACACATGTATAAATTGATGATAACAAAACATTTCAAATCATAACTACGACCAAAGGTTTGTGTATGTATGACATATTAATGTGAAAGAGCTAAAGTTTCGAGATAGATCCATTTACTAAATAGAGAAATATCACCAGAATGAATAGTGTTGAAATAGACAAAGAGAGTAGTGACAAGTTCAAGGATCTATTGCTGAGACACATGAGTAGAGAGATGAAGAATGCAATAAGGAAGAACTATCAACAATAGTTGTTCGATAATTTGAGCGAAATAGAGAAGTCTGAGTAAGAAATAAAGAGAGCTCAGGCACAATTAGGACAAATCAAGAGAAAGAAAATAGAGTAGAGAAAAAAATGAAGAAAAGTTGGGGAAAAAAATTTAGGAGAAAATTTATTTAGTAGAATAAAATAAAATCACATCATAAATAATTTTTTTCAACATATTTTTTATTAAAATTTAGTTAAATTATATATATATATATATATGTCTATAAATGTATATAGATATTTTAAAAAGTATATCGTTTGTATATTACTATTTCTATTATATTTAATGAAGATACTATAACTAAAAATAAATCTAAAATAGATATAGGTGATCAATTGCAATTGTCACTTAGGGATGACACTTCAAAATTAATTGAGAGAGTTGAGAGTTCAGAGATAATGAGAGTTTGAGAGACAGATTTGTTTGTGAGAAATAAAATGAGAGAGGGGTGGTATTTATAGGACTTAGGAGGGAGAGGTTAATTTATATATATAAAAATAAATAAAATAAAATTGGTTGTTGGTGGAATTAACGATTATATGACTGTTTCAAAAAAAAAAATTTAATTTTTGACCGTTGCACTAATAGGGAGACAGGGACCCGTTGGGGTTGGGTCGAGCCAGATGGGGAAAAAAAATTTGGGTCGAGCTCACGAGATGGGTTACACTCCATAACACACCAAAGTCAGGCCGGGCTTTAGAACACATAGCCCAGGGTCTTAGGTTAGACTTAGGCTGAGGCCTGGTTGGGCCCACTTAGGTGCGACTGGACTTTGGGTGTGCCGCAAGCTCGTGGACCAAATTTATACCCCCTATATGTGGGTAGTAGTTATGAAATATGTGATTAGTGGTTATGATATATGTGATGTTGGTTATAGGGCAAATGGTGTTGGTTATGAGATGTGGTTATGACATAAGTCAGTAAAAGTTATGAGATATATGATTAGTGATTATTAGATATGTGATTTTGGTTATGAGCAGAGTGATATAGTTATAAGTCAAAGGATGTTTAGTTATGAAATATGTGATTAGTGGTTATGAGATACATAATGTTGGTTCTGATCAAAGTGGTGTGGTTATGAGATATGTAATTAATAGTTATGATATATGTGATGTTGGTTATGAGATATGTGGGTAATGGTTATGAAATATTTGATTAGTGATTATAAGATATGTGATTTTAGTTGTGAACAAAGTGGTGTCGAAAGGTGTTTTGTTATGCTATATGTGTTAGTGGTTATGAGATATTGGTTATGATCAAAGTTGTGTGGTTATGAGCAAAATGATTGTTAGTTATAAGATATGTGACTAGTGATTATGAGATGTGTAATGTTAGTTATGACTCAAATAGGTTGGTTCTGACTCAAAGGGATTGGTTATGAGATTTGGTTCTCAAAACTATAAAAAGTGACCTGTTTAACAAGTCACTTTTAATGATATGGCTCAATCTTAACCATTAATTTTCTATATCGTACATTTTGTTAAAAAATGTACTAGACTTTATCAAACGGAAGTTCACAAGCACACATCCTACTTCTAACAAAACATTCTTTACCATAAATAACTATATAAGCAACCCAAAAATAGAATGAAAATGCAGGCATCAAGAACTTTACAAGATGGCACCATTAGTTTGTGGCATTTCCTGCATTATTATGCATCATTATCATCAACCATGACACAATACAAAATTACAATTTCTGCTCTTTCCTCTTTTTCAAAAAAAAAAATTAATTAATTAATTTCTTTTCTTCTCCTCCGTAAATGAGGATAGATGAGTTGAGTTGAGTTTCACACACAATATTCGATTTAAGTCTGCATCTTCCATTTCTACATTTTTGCAATCAAAACACTGCCTTCAAATGTGAATGCACTAGTCTAAACTTTGGCAAGTTAGAGACACCTGTTCAAAATATCACTACACAAGATATGGTAAAACAATCCAATATTCAAATATATATAATAAAATTATAATTAAAATATTAAAAAGGAAGAAGACAAGGAAGATTAGATTATTGCAGGTTGTTACATGTAGAAATCGATAATTTCATTTCAATTTACGCATTTAAATGTAATTGTTGTGACATTTCCATCATACTTCCTAGACTATTCCGAATGCTCCTAAATTATCAAAGCTCCTTCCTCGATAGGGCATTCGACCAAGTTTTTTTTTTTTTTTGGACCAAAGTTGAGTTCTTTTAAATCATTTTTTTTTTCAAATACAAGTTATTTTAAACTTATTTTTCAATCCCATGTTATGTGAAACACGACTTTAAAGGTTGAAGCCATGTTTTCATTGTTTTCAAAACAAAACTTCAAGTCTAAAGTAGTATTTTCAAAACATGGGTTTGGCAAATAAGTTCAAAGCAACTTACATTTGAGAAATATGAAAGAACTCAAGTCTGGTAAAAAAAACGTGCATTCGACCATTAGCAAGCGAGATGGAATTTCCATGTCGAGGTAAAGCAACTACTGCACTATTGTGTAAACACGTTTGATATTCATTCTTGCCAACAAAGAGAAGATGCTTCCCACACAATGAATTGAAGAAACATTGAATAAATCTTGTATTACATGAGGGGAAAAAATGAACAAAATATGAGGAAAGGTAGGGTACTTCCCTTAAAGAGGTGGAGAAAGTTAAAGGGACCAAAAAAACAAAAGGTGATGCTATATGCACCAATTAGTGTACACATTAGTGTACTAACTAGTGTTATAATATTATTATTAACCGCATTTATTATACAAATTACAAATACCCAAAACCATACAAATAATGTCACATCATCTGTTAGTACACTAGTATGTACATTAATTAGTACATATAGCATTATTCAAAAATAATAATAATAAAAATAGATAAATAAATTTGGTCATGAAGTTTCTTGGAATGTGAACAAGAGGAATATGGAAAAGAAGCTCCATAGCTAAGAAACACGGAGATGGACACAACACCGACATTCACCTTCTTAAAAGTGTATGTGCTCCTTAGCTCCTTAGGCTTACAATGGCTCATTAAAAAGCTATAGTAAATCTCTCCATGAAGCCAAATAAGCTAACTCTTTTATATAAAAAAAAAAAAACTGAAAACTCAAAATGGAAACACATTTTTTGTGTTTTCATTTTTTGGCCAAATTTATAAACTGAGACCACTGATTTATAAATCAAAAATTTTACCAAACAAGTTTTTATTTGAGTTTTTAAAATTTTTGTAAATATAAACAGAAAACTGAAAACGTAAGTGTTACCAAACAGCACCTAAGAAACACGGAGATGGACACAACACTGACATGCACCTGCTTAAAAGTGTATGTGCTCCTTAGCTCCTTAGGCTTACAATGGCTCATTAAAAAGCTATTGTAAATCTCTCCATGAAGCCAAATAAGCTAACTCTTTTATATACCAGAATGGTCTCCATGCTCCAAAGCAACGATTATGCTTTTTATTTTAACACTATCTATTATTTCTAAATTTTCAATTTTCTATCATTTTCCATCACAATTCCCAGCTTAACTAGAAAAAAAAGCCTGTATATGGAATAATTTTTATAGGAAAACAAACGGCAAGCGTATGTGATTAACATGACTCAAACAAAATTTTGGAACAAATAGGTCTTCCCTCCCTCTTAACAGTCATGTAAAACAAAGCATGAACATTGGGTGTACCAGACACAAATAAATTACCTTGAATTAGGAAGCAGTATGAAGATTCAAATGCAAATATTTATGCTACAAAATTTTTTTTTATTGGTAAGCATTTTTAAGTAAAAACACAATGTTCACATTACCTTTTAAATCTTAAGGAATTGGTGATGAAGTTCAATGGGAGCTACCATCCTCACTCCTTTCATCTACACTTGTACTATAGCGGTTATTGGGGCTCCACTGTGAGTGTCTATGTTCTTCCTTAGTAGGAGAGAACAACGGATCAAATGCATTATCCCCTCCTTCCTTCTTCAAATTATCATCGATCCCAGCATAATCCAAATTTTGCAAAATATTTGGAATAAGAATACCACCATCCTTGCTAAGCACACCTCCCATTTCTATATCTAATTTATCTTTTGAGCTAATCATTCCTCTGCCAAACTTTTGATTTATGGATTCCATAATTGGATCAGCTTCTTCCACTACCCATTCTCTGAAATTGATTGCTGAAGGAGGGGTCTTAGAGAGGAAGATTTCTTTAAGATTCTTCACTATCCCGTTGTTAAATGGGTTTTCCTTCTTGTCATAGCGATAACGAAAGTTCTCATAAGTTGTCTGTAAATATGCAACGATCAGCAGAGAATATTACATTCTTTAGCAAAAAAATAAAGCATAAATAAACATCATGTATATAACCAAAACAGGAAGCATTGTGAAATAGGTTATCATGCATTTTGTGATTTTTAACATGTCAAATAGGGTGATGTCATCATTTACTTTTTTCTAGAAGTTAGTAAACAATTTGTGTATCAATGATCTATTCTCAAGACATACTTCACTTAGCAAAATATGGATGTCTATTCACCATGAAGGAAAAAGATGCATTTAGCTGAAATCCACCATATATTTCTCGGGATCAAAATGAGCTTCAAAAACACTCACCCTACACAATAAAAGCACATATAGCGGTATGGAAATGGATAATAGGGGTGTTGAAACCTGTTAACAGTAGCAATAGGACACCAATAATGCCTATGTGCACAGGGGAACAAAATCATAGAAAAGTGCACAGAAAAATCAATGTGCCCGGATTTATTAATTGAGTTTACGTTTTTTTTTTCTAAATTCTAACTAACTAATTGATCATTCTTTTAGATTTAGAAAATAGGCATCGATAAAAACAGGAACTGATTCTACTCCTTAACCATGAATTCAACCCATTCACATTGCTTTGGATTGGCAGACCTAGTAAACCTATAAAGTGATATTAGGGTTGTTCACGGGTCGTGTTGGGTTTGCCACTGACCCGTCGCCCAACCACCCATCTTCTGGTTTATTTAACACCAACCATTTCCAACCGAAGGTTAGTTCAAAACCCTCTGCACAAGGTAGATCGGTTTGCCCTTTTTCTCTTTCCATGCTCTTCATCATGCTCATTCCATGTAAGATTTTTTTTTTACACTAAACTCAACCCCCTCTAAGCAAAACTTCTACCTTCATCCCAACCTACAAGTTCAAAGATATTGCTAAGGATCAAGGTGTAGATGTGTGATTCCAATCAATTTGAGTTGCGACCATAAGGCAGCCATCAGTAGCCCACAGCCTGTTCAACGTTATATGACTAAGCAAACCAAGCTAAATATAGAGTTCAACAGGGAATAACCATAGTTGCACGAAGCGGGAGCAAAGAATCGTAATCATTCCAAGAATCGTTGGTAGGGAGCGTTTGTATATATATTAAATAATATAATATATAAAAATATATTGTAAGATTATATATTTTTTTCCTCTAATGATAAAGAAAATATATGTTATAATTTTTTTTTTAAAAAAGTACTATAAAAAATCATATGTTAAAATATTATAATTATATACTTTTATTCGATTTTTTTCATTTATTATAAAATATTTATATTATTTTTTAATTTTGTATAATATCTAATTAATTAAACACAACATAAAAAATTGAAAAATAAATAACAAATAAACATTCATTTTAAACATTCATTTTTTGAGCTGGTGAACACAAGATAATAAATTAGTTAGGTAGAATTTATATATATTTGTGCAATCACAACCAGCAAGGCATATTTCATTAATTGTAAAAAGAAAAGGGTTAAATCAAAAGTCATTTTGTATAAATATGGCATTAAGACACAACTAGAATTACATGAAAAGATGTTAATTTATAATATAAAATCTATATTATATAAATGAAAAATAAGAAATTTAAGTATTAAAAGACTTTTCAGTGAATTTTTAGTCTCAAACGGAGAGGGAGAGAGAGAGAGACGAAGAAGAAGCAGACGACGACGCCTGATGAGTAGAAGAAGACGCCTGCGAAGCAAAGAGCTTGAGAGATGAAGAATAAGAAGATGAAGATCAAAGCTTGAGAAGCAAATATATGGAAGAAGACAACGCGATCTCCACTTTCGTAGCCCTAATCGCAAGTCCATATCAAGTTTTTCTTTTCCTTGCGATTCTCTCTCTCTCTCTCTCTCTCTCTCTCTCTCTCTCCTTCTTTGTTGTTGCTGTGAAACACAAATCCTTAGCTTGAGCGTTCCCATCCAGTTAGATCTGCAATTTTATCTCAATGGGGACGCGATTCTAACACAATTCTTGCTACGAATCGTTGAATCGCGATTCTAGACGAGAATCGTCTCCCCTTTCCACAATTCCTACTACTAAGGGAATAACTAATACGTAGAGTTACACCCCTTTTCAAAAGCCAAAGATGGGCAAGAAAGATTTCATGAATGAATGAAAGAGATTCCACTCATCATTTACTAAGCAAGTTGGCCACTCAATGCGAACAAAGTCAAAGGGGAATGCTTTGAATTTGTCTCTATTTGTAGGGTACAATATAAATTATGCAACCTTGGACATATTGCAAATAATTTTCCTTAAAATGATATGATTGGCACTTTTGGGACTTAGAGAGAATCTCTCTCTCTCTCTCCCCTCCCATCTTCCTCTTCTTTTTTCTCTTTGCCCAAATGCTAAACTGCATATACTTTGCATGGATGACTGTAAATATGTGTATAAGACCAAAATATTTGCGAATAATATGCACATGCCTCATCATCCACAACAACAAACAATAGAATGAAATAAATAAATAAATAAAGAAGAAGGATAAGATAATTCCAAGTGATTTTGTGTTTCTCACACTTAATTCTAAACTATAGATAGCATTTTGAGGGTAAGAGGATCACCTGGTTCGTGCAAATCAGATAAAAATGAAAAACAGTGAGCCCACCAACAAACCAGACGGCTATGAAGCAATAAACTATTAGAGCAACTGATACGATATCTCCTGACATATTATTCAATAAGTTGTTCTTCGGTCGCATGATATTTATCAATGAAAACGTGAAGACATATATGCACAACAAGGTTGATGAAGAAATAAACAGGATGAAGAATCGATAATTTCGCTGCAACAAATCAATAGGAAGACGTGGGTTAGTTTGTTCCCAACAGTTTGAAACAATTTTTCTTTAATGCAATAAAAAATTTAACCATTATGTAGTGATAGCATGCATTATCATTAAAGAAATGGTTTTAAAAACAACAGTGAAGCTTCCTAAACTATTTCCCAGTTCACCATTTCAAATGTACTAAATAATCTTTTAAGGGTTGTTTGAATTTTGAGTTATCAAAGAAAGAATATGTCAGATTGGGCCAGTTTTTGGGGTCCAGTGGATTTTAATGTACAAAGACAAGCCTACATGGTCATTCTATAGCTTGTGATGGTCTTTCCCCACCCTGTCCCGTATATCTTGAGAAAATAAACACCCAGAAAAACAGTAATTTTATTGAGCCATTTCATCAAAGAAGTTATGTTGCGTACTTAACCCATTTATTCATCACACAAAGAAAAAATTTAGGGATTCAATGGATAACAAGAAAATATGGCATGAACTCATTTGAATGCATATGCAAAATACAATGAATTGGTTCGACTTTGGTGCAATGTCCAAATGCTTCGTTAATGTTTAAGCATAAAATCTGAGGCAAATGACTTACTATTCCAATACACTGACCCACCCACGGACAATGATGATCAAACCTCTCTACACAGTTGTTGCAAATGGAGCAATGAGAAGCACGTGGTGGACGATATAGCAAACAAGTGTCACAATACTTCACTTTAACTATGTGACCGTTGATAAGTATATCCTTTGTTCGGGGTAATTTCAAATGAGGGGTTGCACTGTTGACCCATTCCATGGATGGGGTATTGAGATCCAACGAGTCATCCAATTCAGGTGGCCGCGAGTTCCTTGGTACTATTCCAGGATTTCTTCCAGATGTCATAAATAGGAAAATCAAATTCTGCATATAAATATAAAATTTTTAAAAATAAACATAAATAAATAAACCATCAGGTTAAATTCAATCATCATCACTTAATCTACACCAAATTTACCACACAAAAAAAAAAACATCATTATACTTACCAAGACTGTTAGTATAAATCCCACTAGCAGTACAGTATGCCCATATAAAGGTTCGGTTTCTCTAATCCCCATAAGCATTTTTATGCAGAATGTCATTGCCGGTGCCCCTATTAGGAATGTAGATAAAAATAGTGATGCCCCATCAGGACCAAAGATCAATCTTCCACCGCACAAAAATTTCTGACATAGATAGGAAAGAAAAAAGAAACATGCTTCATCAGTGTGTTAGTCTGTAAAAAAAGTAAGTACAAATGCAAATTTTCTTTTTCATTCATTTTGTAAGAAATTTATCAGCCAAGAAAGAGGGTCTTATTTATTTATGTATTTGTTCAAAAAAAGTCTCTTTAACATAAACCCTGACATAGCATAGCTTATTTGGGTTGTTTCCCTTACAAATGAAATGATTCATTCTCCTAAATCATTTAGGTGCCGGTTGGTAACGTCTTGTTTGTTTACAGAAAACATTAAAAATGTTTATGTTTATTTTTTGTAAAAAAAAAACAAAAAACATATTTGGTACACACGTGTTTTAAAAACTTGTTTTGAAAACAAGTGAGAAAACAAGTGAGAGAGGTGACTGCTGAAGGTCGGAGATGGTGGTCACCAGTGGTGGTTCCTGACAAGAGGGGGTGGTCAAAGGTGATTGTTGATGATCAGAGATGGTGATTGGAGGAAGTGGTTGCCAGAGAAGGTCACCAACAATGGTGGTAGGAGGTAATGCTTAGTGGTGGTGATGATTGGTGCATGGTGGCTGGAGGGGGTAGGATAGGAGAACGAGGAAAGAATGAATTTTTTTTTCTAAACAAGTGAAACTTTTGTTTTTTTGGTGGTTACAAGGAATTTTTGTAAACTGTTTACAAGTTTTTGAAAACAAAAACAGACACCAAAACTAGTTTTGGTCAACAGTTTTCGAATTTTTTGTAAATATAAACAGAAGTTGCAAACATTAATAGGTTACCAAATAGACCCTTATATCAATGTTAAGCTTTTTCTTGATCCAAAAGACAAGGAACAAGTGAAGTCTAAAAGCACATTTATCAATTTAATTACTTAACATGCAGACAAAACAACAAATATAGTCCATAGCAGTAATAACTAGAAAAACTAAGAACAATGACCAGAAATGTGTACCAAAAGAAAACCCAGAGCAAAGTTATTTTCCACTTAAAAAAAAAAAAATCATTTTGAGATCGAATAAAAGATCATTCAACTTCTGAGAAACTAATGGCGCTTGTAATGAATCGTTGTCCAGGTCAAATGCTTGTGGGTGGAGGAAAAGTATAATCAACCAACTACAGTAAATGATAATTCTATTCCCCATAAATGTTTTTAAACAAGGAATGTTAATAACTAAACAAGGCCTCATATTAATTAATATGCACCAAGAAATATATTTTGTCATCTATTGCTGGTAGAGCTACAGGTAGAGGCAGAGGGCAAAAAGGTCATTCTAACACTGGTAGAGGCAGAGGGATGGATCATCTTAGAAATATTTCTTGCTAACAACTTGGAATTAGAAAAAAAAAAAAAAAAGAAGCTCCAATGCATACTTAGAGAGATACCATATCACTATTTTTTTTTCCTCTTTTCATCCATCTTGATATGGACCTGCCAAGAAACACTATAGCAAAAAAGAGGAAGAAAAGAAAAGAACTATCACTCAACATTACATTGACCTACACATTTTCACTAAATATAGAGGGGACCAAAGGAAATGACATAGGTCTCATTGAAGAATGAGTCTAGGGTAACGAAGCAAAGATGAAGTGGGCTTCTAGTTGTTTTGCTTGGATAAGCATTGCCGCTCTTCTTTTCTGTTTGAAACATGGTCATCAAATTTGTGCCGCTACTTTCATATTAGACATACAAGCGTACTTCAAAGAATTTGACTTTGAATGAATCCAAAAATGGTAACCCGAATAGCTCAAATTCTAAATATTATTCACATTCAGTAAACTCCAAAAATGAAACCACTATCATATATGCTCAAAATAATAGTGTTTCTGATTTCCTTAACACTCAAAAAAAAAAATTTGTATTTTTCTTGTCTCAGTAGCTTAGGTTGCAACATGCTTCCACAGCTGGGGTTCATTGGCTATTAATCCTTTGACAAATGAATACCATACTCAAAAATATAAATAAAAGGTAAAAATAGATGTTGCTCTATCCTAGTTTTCTTTTTCTTTTCTTTTCTTTTTTTTAAATTGACGAAAGTTTTGAATGTGCCATTGGAGTGTTCCGTATCAAACCAAACATATAACCAAATTTTTGATGAAATAAGAAAACAATGATAAGAGATGGTCTGAAACATCAATATTTTGAAGAGGAATTATTACCGAAAAAGGCATAATTGGAGAGTTTAGCTATTTTCTTTCTCAATTTTGATACGAAAACAGAAAATAAATACCCATCAATGGTAAGATTTAACATAATTTATTGGCAAAGCCCATCTCTAAAAAATATTATCCATCTATATACATTATGTCTGTGTCCGATTTTATGACCAGTTTGTGTGTTCCTAGACGTATTCTTTCTTGATTCGGTACCAAAATAACCCAACAAATCTTCTCATTTAATCATGAAAACCCACTAAATCTATCATCAGCAATCAAATGGAAATTATAAATCAAAATGAAAAACAAAAAGAAAAAATGAAGATAGAGAGAAGCTTACATTGCGGCCCTTCCAAACTTGATAGAGCCTCTTGGATTTGGGAGGGTCTGTGCCTTCTTCAGAGGAAGGACCCGAATTATGATTCTTGATCTCACCCATTGATGTTTTTTAATTTTTTGCCCCTTTTTATTTCCTTTTGGTTTTGATTTTTTTCAAAAAATTATTCAAAAGCAATGCCCATGAATGATGTATTTAAAAATCAAAATCAAAAAGTTGAATTGATGATGTGAAAGGGGACGGTTTGGGGGCAATCAAACCAGGGAGAGGAAGAAAAAGGCTCTCCCCTTTGTTTTTGGATCAAAACCAGTTTCCCCTGTTGTTCTCCATTCCCTCTCTTCTCACAAATTCAACCCCAAACAACATGTCCTCTTTACCCCTCTCCCTCCCCCTCTCTCCCTCCCTCTCTCTCCAAATTTCTCTCCCTCAATGTTTCTCTCTCTCCTACCAAACCATCCAAAATATACCCATGAATTTTTCCACCTGTCTCACACAATTTTTGGCTAATAATTATTGTATTTCAAGTCATTATTTACACAAGTATATTGCAATATTGAAATTTTTAACTTACATAGGCACTTTTTTATTTTTTTATCTTTTTTTAAACCATATCATTTCTTTATTTTTTTTAATATTTTTTTATAAAAAATTTAAAAACATATTTATTTAAATTATTCAAAACACCCTCATAATAGAATAATTTTTATAAAGAACTAAAACCAATTTTCATTTTAAAAATTAAGGGTTGTTTGGAATGATCTAAATAAATGTATTTTTTGTCTTTTTATGAAAAGATGTGTAGAAAAATAAAAAGGTGATGCGATAGAAAAAAGATAGATTATTTTGAACTTCCCAAACTTAACCTAAGGCACCGTTTGGGAAGGTAGGTTGGAGGTTTTTTTGGCTATTTTAGCCACAAAAAATAAAATAGGCTATTTTAGCCATAACAAACAAAACATCACATCCAACCCATAATCATTACATTCTTCTCTCACAAAAAAACTCAAAAAAGTCAAAAAGTCAAAAAGCCCTTCCCAAACCAATCTTTTAAGCCCAAGCTAAAATAGCCAAAAAAAACCAAAAAGTCAAAAGCCAAGCCACTTCCCAAACGGAGGCATAGGCACTTTTTTATTTTTTTATCTTTTTTTAAACCATATCATTTCTTTATTTTTTTTATATTTTTTTATAAAAAATTTAAAAACATATTTATTTAAATTATTCAAAGCACCCTCATAATAGAATAACTTTTTTTAAGGAGTGATTTTTTTTGTGCACCCTTAGAATGTGCAAACATGATGCAGATGTGTGAACATTGTAACAAGTTGTAATTGTTTTATTAAAATAATTTGTTATATAGCTCGTTACAAATAGCGATTAACATTTATATAAGGGGAAATTATCATAAAATCTTATGAAAAATGTTTGAGGGCCACAATTTTTGTGGCCACAATGGCTCAAAACTGTCAAAACGACGTTGTTTTGGGTGCAAAACATGCCAAAACGACGTCGTTTTGACAGTTTTGAACCATTACAGCCCCAAAAATTGTGACCCTCTAGCATTATTGAAATCTTATTTACCAATCTATTATTCCATTTGGTCCCACATTTATTCTTTTGGATTGACAAGTCTTATTTGGCATGTTTTGTGGACAGTTAAGTCCCATTTTGATTTGATGTGATATGTGTGTAGACAAGTTTGCCCCTTTTTTGTTTTTTTCCTATGGAGGTGTATATTTGCTGATCCACATTTGCTGACTCACGTTTGCTGATCCTCGTCTGCCTCACCGCCATTCTCTTCCTCCGTGAAATCCCACCTTCCTCCACCGCCGATGAAGACAAAGAAGAAGCTCGGTACTTCGGAATCATCAATGCCGTAAGAGTAGAAAAAAGAAAGAAACCCACTTGGAGAGAGGTTATTCGATGTACATCGCAACCCAGAAATGGATTCGATCTAAAAAAACAGAGTGATGTAAATCGTTTAATTTCTCAATCATTCGCAATTATCCTTCTAATCCTCTTAGCTTCTCCAATTTCAATCCCACTGTACATCGCAACCCAGAATTGGATTCGATCTAATTCCGAATCAAATTCGGACCTCGAGGGGGTTGTGACTGAACCGTTGCTGGTATGCCGAAGTAAGAGAAGACGACGACGGAGGCTGCGGTGGCGGTGGAGAGGAGAGTAACCAGCACTGCAGTGTTCATCCATGTTCAAAACATGAGACCCAAATTACCAAACGTGGGTCAGCAAACGTGGATTAGCCAACCAGCACTGCAGTGTTCGTCCATGTTCAAAACATGAGACCCAAATTACCAAACGTGACTCACTGTCGTCGCAGGCAAAGGAAATGTGAACTTTGTTTGCTGCACAGAAACGTGAACGTGAATGTCAATCCCAGATCGACATGAACAATGGGCACAAGATGATCATCAATCCGTCAGGTCGGTGTACCACGTCGGCGTGAACAATGGGCACAAGATGATTGTCAATCCGTCAGGTCAGTGTATCACGTTGGCGTTGTCATATGGACCCTTAAACAGAGTACAAGACGCTGATAAACAAATCGGGCAGATCGACGTGAACAATGGGTTCTTGGTATCTGGTAATCCATCTTCGAAATTGTTGGGACTTGAGGGATCCAAGTTTCTTGAAATCTGGTAATCAACTTGAACAATGTGTTCTTGGGCACAAACAATGCGAACTCATGATTTAGGAACAATGGACAACTCGTGAACAATGGGCCTTGCAATTCCCAGATTTAGGAACAAAAAGATTGTATGAACTTCAATTGTAGAAACGTCACAAATGGCAATTGGAAAACAAAGGGTCAAATTGTGGGGAAGCTGAAACGTGACACAACCCATGTCACAGGGAAAAAAATAAAAATAAAAAATTGTCAAATTACTTGTGTTCACATCACAACCCACGTCTCATGTTATGAGTTTTACTTACTAAATTAAAAACAGTATTAGTGTGCTTTTTCGATTAGCGTGACACACAAACATCCCTTCACCTTATTCCATACAAACCCATAACCAATGTCAATCAATAATACTACCAGTGGCAAAACTGTCAACAAACAAATTAAGGGACCACTCAGTCACTAAGAAAACATTCAAGGATCTTATGGATTACAAGTCCATAAAATGAGATTTACTGGTCAATTCCCCTTTATATAATGTTCTTTATATAATTATTTATTTCTTATAATAGTTCGTAATTTTTATTTTAGAATACAAGTCATATATTCGTTAATTTTACTGTGAAATGACGCAACAAACAACACAAACATTCATAATATTCACTTGCAAATAATTATGACTTTCTTATAATATAATATTTCTCTTTTTAAAGTGGGTTTTCATTAATTATCAACTGTATACTTTTATTAGCATAGCCAACTTATAAACTAAGACCAATGAATTAGCTTAATAAGTGAGATGTTATTTTATCGAGCATTACATAATTTCAGGATTCAATTATCAATATTGTATGATTTTAAAAAATCAAGGTTCTGTTTGGCAAGGAAGTTTGGCGCTATTTTAACCACAAAAGATAAAATAAGCTATTTTAACCATAACAAACAAAACATCACATCGAACCCATAATCATTACACTATTCTCTCACAAAAAAATAAAAAAAGTCAAAAAGTTAAAAAGTCGTTCCCAAACCAAGTTTTTTAGTCCAGGCTAAAATAGTCAAAAAAATCAAAAAGCCAACCCACTTTCCCAACGAAGGCAAATGTTGATTTGTGATTTCACTATGCAATGAAATTACGAGTTCAAGTTTGATTTTATGTTTACAATATTGACTCAGTTAGTAAGGCCTCTTTTGACATGTAAGTTAAAAGTCAATTTATTAATTTTTAAACTTTTTTTTGTCGCATCACTTTTTTTTTTTTATCTATCTATCTATCTATACTATTACAAAGTGAAGATAAACATCCCTCATCCCTCATCTATCTATATCTATCTATCTATCTATCTATACTATTATAAAGTGAACACCATATTAATATGGTGTCTTGAAGCTTGCTTCACTCTCCTCATGCCATGTGGAGATGGGCAAGGCTTGAACCCATGACCATGGGTTTAAGTATGAGGACTCATACTACTTAAGCTAAGTACACATTATAATATTAACTTCATTATTATTTTCTTTTATTCCTATTTATTTAATTTGCACACACATCGTGTGTGCCCAACCGCTAGTACTATTATAAAGTGAGCATCTTTTATGGTGTCTTGAAGCCTTTGTGTCTTATACAGCCACGTATCTATTTTTTTGTTTAAAATAAAAAAAAAATTAGATAGATGAGAGGAGGGGATTTGAACCTTAGACTTATGTCAAAGGAATAAGCCTCTTACCACTTAACTAGCACATAATATATGATAAATGTTTTATTTTATTTTTATTTATTTGAATTACACACGTATCGCGTGTGGCAACCGCTAGTATATTTAAAAAAAAAACACAAAAAATCAATTTTTAACTAATTTTTCAAAATAAACCTTAGTGTTCGGTTATATTAACATAAAATTGTAACTTGTAAATGTAATATTGACAATTTTTTTTATAAATATTTAAATAAAAATAATATTTAGCAAAAAAATATAACTCTGTAACCAGAACATCTAGACGCCAACGGTTGCCTCGGAGAATCCATATAATTTGAGCAGACTTTGCGCGGGGAAGGTAACAATGTAGTGTAATTTGCAAAAAGGTGCCTTAGTTTATGCATTTTTGCAAGTCGGAACAAAATTTAAAATTTAAAGTTTGTGGGAACAAATTAATTTTTAGATGTCTGTGTTTTCATTCACACGCTCACAAAGTGTGTAAAAATGTTTATTTTAAGTTTTTGCAATCACGGTTTCTTATTTATTAATTTGGCAATTTTATCATTTTATTTTTTCCTACTACCTTTGTTTTGTACGCAATATAATTTTTCCAATGACCAGCTATATGAGTTGTTATTGTTAAAAAAAAAAAAGAAGAGAAAGTTTGGCTATGTTTGATAGAGCTTTTGAAATTTAATTATACCCCTTAGTTTGAATGTATTGTTTGGTTACAATTTTAGAAAATTAATATCACACCCGCTTTTTAAAACACTTTTTAAAATACTCACTTTTCAATATTATATGTCACATCACTCAATTCAAACTATTTTTAAAACTCATAACTAAACAAATTTTCTATACTCAAATCATAATTTTAAAACTCACAAATTCAAAATACAACTATATTCTTAAATCATAATTCTAAAACTTTACCAAATACAACCTTAATTTTTTCAATATTGAAATGACTATTTATATAAGTTATTTTATTTTAGTATTGGCGAAAAATTATAACTAGAACTGAAAATGAAAGTCAAAATAGTTGATAGTAAATGATGGTTGAGATGGGAATAGACTTGACG